CAACTTAGTTTTTTTCTTGAGCTAGTAATTACGTTTTCTTCCAATTTTCTTAAGTTTCTGTATACTGATCATTGATTCCAAATGCTCCAACAAAGTAGTAAAGCCCCTCTCAATATTATTTTCCACACAATCAAATGCATCAGGTACCCAACAATTCTTTTTAAAATTTTTCTCTAGGACCTCCCTGAGAAGGCCCGTGTTCTCCTGCACCCGCTGGCCTGGCTGCACCCCAAGGTCACAGTGCTGGTCTCTTCCTTCCCCATCACCCCGGGAGTTCCCTCTTTGGGGATCCCAAGTCTTCCTTTGTTTTTGTGGAGCACATCCTTCAGTATCTACAGACTCGTGTATTTCTTTGTTTCTGGAAAGCGCTGACATATTTTCTTTTCAAATATTTCATCTCTCCCATTCTCTCCTTGGGGAGTTCTGTTTAAAGGTATGTTGGACCTTCTTGTTCAGTTTTGATGGTCTTTAATTCCTCTTTCATGATTTTCATCTTGTTTTGCTGAGTAATTTCTACTAATCTATCCATTGTTATTCATCTACCAACTCATCTTCAGTGTGTTTTATATTTCAACTTTACATGTGTATTTTTATTGCTAGAAGTTCTTTTTGGTTCTTTTTCAAACTGCCTGAATGTTCCATGCACAGACTTTAAACCAAGTCTTTTGAGATGTCAGTGCCTCCAGCACCAGGGACTTTCTGGGAGCTCTGCTGTCCTCACTGGCCACCCCCACTGCGGTTCTGCGTCACCTTCCCCCGCTCTGCCGACCCATCTTTTTCCATCTTCTGAAAACGTCTGGACGTCGCGTGTCCCCATTGCCTCCTTTGCTCTCACGAGGGAGCCACGTTTCAGTAGTTTTGGTTTCGAGTTGACGCAAGGCAGGGATGTTGATCTCAGGCCAGGCTGAGACTTAGCAAGGGCCAGTGACGGGTGAGGACACAAGGCTGGTCCTCCTACTTGCCCCTCTCCTGTTCGTGACAAAGCCACTGTGTTCTTGGGCTCTCGGTGTCCCTATCTATAAAATGGGAGGAGCTTGGTTTATCGAGCACGTGAAATGTGGCTCGTCCTAACTGAGATGTGCTCTAAGTGTAAAATACAAACTGGATTTCAGACTCAGTACAAGGAAGAATGGAAAATATCTCAATAATTTTTTACATTGTCTACATGTAGAAATGATAATATTTTGGATATATAGGGTTAAATGAAATCTGTTATTAAAAGAACTTCACGAGTTTCTTGTTACATTTCTTCAGGTGGCTCCTGGAAAATTAAAATTCCTTCTGTGGCTCGCATTGTATTTCTCCTGGCGACCCTGCCTCAGATTCCCCTTAGGGTGCTCCTGGCCCTGCAGAACGCCTTCCTCTCGGTCTTCCTGACTCCACCCTCCTGGCTTTCTTCTCTGGCTGCTGCTTCTCATCTACTGGCAGCTTCTCTGCCCTTCTAGTAAGTGTTGCAAGTTCTGTCCTGTGTCCTCATCTCTTATGATCAATTCTGCTCTTTCAGGAAAAGCCTATTCACATCGCTGGTGTCAATGCCTGCCTTTTTCTTATTTATATTGAGATACAATTTACATAGCTGTAAGATTCACCCTTTTACAGGGTACAGATGTTCATGGAGCTATGCTACTATCTGATTCTAGAACATTTTCATCACCCCCAAAAGAAACCCCCTGTCCATTAGCAGTCACTCCCTACTCCTCCTTCCTCACCTGCTGGGAGCTGCTAAGCTGTGCTCTGTCTGTGTGGGTTTTCAATGTCCAACTCCCGACTCACACATTCAGCTGCCTCCTGGGCAGCTCTGTCCGGCTGTGGCTCAGGCATTTAAAACTCACCAGAACTCGGCATATTCATCATGCATCTGCTCCACCCCATTAATTATTCAAGCTTAATTATCCAAGCTGGAGAGCTCTGTCATCCTTCACTCCTTCCTCACCTCTCCTCCCACATCTACTCAGTTTGCAAATATTGCATCTGCTCCACCCCATTAATTATTCAAGCTTAATTATCCAAGCTGGAAAGCTCTGTCATCCTTCACTCCTTCCTCACCTCTCCTCCCACATCTACTCAGTTTGCAAATATTTTCTGCCATTCTGCAGGTTGCCTTTTCATTCTGTTAATTGCTTCCTTTGCCGTGCATTAGCTTTTCACATGCCACAGAGTGAAACCAGACCCTTTTCTTATACCATACACAAAAATCTTCTTAAGAGCATAGGAGAAATCTTCCTGGCACTGATCCTGGCAATGCTTTCATGGATATGACATTAAAAGCATAGACAACAAAGCAGAAATAGACAAATGGGATTAAATCATACTAAAGAACTGCAGAACAAAGGAAACAAGCAATAGATTGAAAAGGCAACCAATGGACTGGGAGAAAATAGTTCCAAACCATATATGTGATAAGGGGTTAGTTTCTAAAATACATAAGGAACTCCTGCAATTTCATAGCATAAAACCAAATGACCCAATTTTAAAAATGACTGAAATAACAATTCTTCAAAGAAGGTGTAAAAATGGCCAACAGTATATGAAAAGTTGCTAAATGTCACTCATTGTCAGGGAAATGCAAATGAAAGCCACAATGAGGTAGCACCTCATTCCTGTTAGGGTGGCTATTATCAAAAGACTGGGGTTGGCCAGTTAACCCAGTTGGTTAGAACATGGTGTCATAGCACCAAGGTCAAGGAGTTTTACCACCACACTGGCCAGCCACCAAAAAAAAAAAAAAAAAAAAAGAGAAAAAAGACAACCAACAAGTGTTGGCAAGGTTGTGGAGAAACTGGAGCCCTTGTGCTCTGCTGGTGGGATGCGAAATGGCACAGCTGTTATGGAAAGCAGTGTGGAGGCTCCTCAAAAAATTAAAAACGAAACTACCACATGATCCAGCAATTCCATTTCTAGATATTTATCCAAAAAAAATGATACCAGTACCTCAAAGAGAGAGCTGCACGTCCAGGCTCACTGCAGCACTATTCTCAACAGCCAAGACGTGGAGCCTGTCCCCGGACAGATGAATGGGTAAAGGGAACGTGGCGTGTGCGCAAGTGCTGACACATGCTACAGCACGCGTGAGCCCGGGACGTCATGCTGAGTGAAATAAGCCAGACATGGAGGGACAAACGCGCACGATTCCACTAACACGAGGTACCTAATGCACTCATGGAAGAGAAAGGAGTGGTGGCTGCAGGGGCCGGGGGAGGGGACATGGGAGCTGCCGGTCACTGAGCATCAAGTCGCAGTCAGGCGCGGCAGAGCTCCGTGAGGCGGGTCACCTGAGCACGTCCGCTAACCCATGCCACGCTTTGGCTTCAGACTCTGCGTGGCATCTCCTTACACTGGGAGGAAAGGCCTCCGGACCCTACAGGGGCCTGGCGGTCCTGCCACTCCCCCTCGTGCGTTCCCCCCCCCCCCACGACTGTGCCTCCGCCTCGGGACGCTCTTGGGGGTGCTTTAAATACTGCAAACTTCCTCTTAGCCGTTCTCAAGTCTGAGGCCTCGGCCTCAATGTCGCCTCCTCAGAGGGTCCTTCCCTGAGACCTATGAAAAGAAGCCCCGCAGCCCCGTGCCCTCCCCGAGGCCGGTCACACGTGCCGCTCTGTCCTTATCTCTCCGCTGCTTTCCGGCTGCCAGGTCCCGGGACGCCAGGCTCCGCCGGGTCTGTGATCGCCCCGCCCCAGCCACGCGACAGCCCCGCTGGGGGACGGTCCCCCGCGCCATGCGCTCTGTCCGTCGGCCCGACCTCTTCCCCACCCGCGTCTGCCTTTCTCCAGAAGCTTCCCGAGGGCCGGCTGCGGGGCTTGGGTGCAGGAGGAGGGCGGACGCGGGCAGACAGCGCCACCACCCCTGCCCGCCCCAGGGCCACCGCGGGCAGCCCGGGAGACGGAGGCTGGCGGCCTGGAGGGGGCAGTCGGGACCCGGCCCACGTGGTCTCTGCAGCCCAGGGGTGCGGCGGATCCCCATGGGTGCGTGTCTGTGTGTGTGTGTGTGTGAGAGACAGAGACAGAGAGACAGAGAGAGACTGAGAGCCAGAGACAGAGAGACAGAGAGAGACAGACAGACAGAGACAGAGACAGACAGAGACTGAGAGACAGACAGAGACAGAGAGACAGACAGAGACTGAGAGCCAGAGACAGAGAGACAGAGAGAGACAGACAGACAGAGACTGAGAGCCAGAGACAGAGAGACAGAGAGAGACAGACAGACAGACAGAGACTGAGAGCCAGAGACAGAGAGACAGAGAGAGACTGAGAGCCAGAGACAGAGAGACAGAGAGAGACTGAGAGCCAGAGACAGAGAGACAGAGAGAGACAGACAGACAGACAGAGACAGAGAGAGACAGACACAGAGACAGAGAGAGAGACAGAGACGCAGAGACAGAGACAGAGACAGAGAGACAGAGACAAAGAGAGAAGGGAGAGACAGAGACAGAGAGACAAAGAGAGAAGGGAGAGACACAGAGAGAGAGAGAGAGAGAGACTCCCGCCTGAGCCTGAGCTCGGGCCTCTCCTGGGACACCCCCTCCCTCGTAACCCCAGGAGAGCCTTGCAGGGGTCCTCCTGGCTGCCCCCTGGGCCCTGAGCTCAGAGCAGCCGATGGAGATGGGCCCTCCAGGCTGGGGAAGAGCATTTGAGGCCAGCTGTGTTTTGAGCTGTAGCTGTGTTGACTGTTGCCTTGGGAACAGGCAGCTCCCAACTGTGCCCAGGATGTGGTGGCCCCTATGTGTGTGTATGTGACATCCGAGCCCTAGCAGTGGGGTGCACAGAGTTCCTGAGTTCAGCAGCCCCTAGCCCCAGGCAGGAGGCCTCAACACAGTGTGGGGGAGGGGAGACAGGCAAAATCCAGACGCCTGGAGATCCCAGACAGGACATTGGAGTTCGGGCACAGCACCCCCAGCCTCCACGCCTTTGAGCCATGTGAAGGGGTGATGACAGTCCTGCTCTGCCCCCACGTGGATGCTGCGAGGCTCATGGGGGATGGTGCATGGGCGGTTGCTTTGTGAATTGTAGGTCAGATATTCGTGTGAGGCTTCTGCTTTGTTTTTGGAATGATGCATGAGGTTATATGTCTGCAAGGGAAAATTAGTGACAATGTGTTATTAATATCTGTTCTACCTGTAAACCCAGAGAGTTTGCTGAGCCCTCCCAACCATCCAAGGCAGCCTTTCCAACCCCATTCTACAGATGAGGAAATGGAGGCCCTCACCAGCAAGATTACGTGACTGTCCAAGGTCACACAGTCACTACCTGAAGAGCTTGTCCTTGAGCTTAGATCTTCTGAAGGAGATGGTGGGAACCCGAGGGAGGGGTCCAGGGTCTGAACCTCTAGCCCAGTTTCTGCTCCGTCCTGGTGCAGGCTCTCCCGGCCTGGCTCAGCTGATCTCCTCAGACACTGCTCCTGTCACTCCTGCCCCAGGCACTTCATGCTTCTGGCTCTCTGGGCTTCGTGCCACTCCCTGTCTGTGTTGGCAGATTCACAGCTCCTTACACGAAACTCTCTGTGGGCTGCTGACCTGGGCATGGTGCTCCCGATCTTTGCAAAAAGAGACACGTGAACGAATGAACACAGACAAGCCATGCTAAATGGAGGCGTGCACAGGTCCCCGGGGTGCCAGGAACCAGTTTGGCCAACAAGCCACTGAGCGTGCATGGCGGCCAGCGCTGGTGCCTCTTCTGGATTCTACTCCCATGAAAGAGGTGGCAAGGGGTTGGGTTTTCACAGGTGAAAAGGATTTGCCAGGTGGAAAAGTTGGGGAGAGGGCGGAAGCTTGGATGCGAGAGAGGGCCCGGGATTTTGGGAGAAGTGGGGCGAGGAGGTAAGGACTGGGGCTGGAGGGTAGGTGGGGGGTCAGCCACAGGGGCGTTTTCCACTGTATCCTGCACACCATGGGGAGGTTCAGATGGGCTTTCAGCCCCAAGTGAGCTGCAGGGTAAGAGACCCTTGGGAAAGGGACAAGAACAGATGAGGCCACCACTGCCATGGTCCGGGCGAGAGGTATTGGTGAAGCATGCAGGAGCCTGGGACGAGTCAGGCTAGAAGGAGCTGCCAGCTTCGTCTTTCAGCACGTGAGTGAGGAAAGGGTTGAGTGAATGTGACATCCCAGGATGACATCAGTCTAAAATCAGGACTGTGGGCCTGGGACTCTCTGTCTCTCCTCTGTTCTTCCTCCTGGAGCTGGGAAGAGACAGGGTGACATTTAGTGACAAAATTTCTTGGTAGAGATGAACTGCAGCTGGCAGAGCCACAGGGATGGTGCTGCTGTGTGCTGGGTCTGGTGTCATTCTCTCCGAGGTGTCTGTCCTCAGCATGGCGAGGACAGGTCCCTGCCATGCCAAGGAGCTGCAGCTCTGATTTCCTTGAACTCCTGGAAGGGGTCTGTATTCACCTATTTCTGTTGCTTATAACAAATACCAGGAACTGGGTAGTTTATAAGAAAACAAAATTTATTGCTTATGGTTTGGGAGGCTGGGAAGTCCAAAGTCCAGGGAACACATCTGGTGAAAGCTGTGGTGGTGACAACAGTGACCCAGGAGTCTCACATGGCAGAAGTGGCAGAGCAGAGAGAAAGAGACTCTCACATGCTCTCCTTTTAAAGCCCTCAGAACCGCACCCATGCCCACAATTATGAATCCATTCATTAGGGCATGGTCCTCAGAATCTAGCCACCTCTTCAAGGACCCACCTTGCAATTACTTTAATACGATTTCCCAAACACTTAACAATCACAGTGGGGATCAAGCTTCTAATACATAAAACTTGGGGGACACAATTCAATCCACATCAGGGTCCCATGAGTGTGTTTAGAGAGGGCAGTGCCTGCTGCGCCTGAAGAGGCGGTGTGTCCCGGGAGGTCCTTGTCAGGCCAGCTGTGGGCTGTGGCACTGAGCAGCTAGGGACAGCCCTGCAGTTTGCTCAGATACCTCAGCCCAGGTCCCTTGGCCACAAGCTCCAGAGAAAGGGAACAGGACAAAAAAGACTAGCAAGGAAACTTATGACTGACCAAGTTCCTGATGTATGTAGAGGTTGAATATTTTCATGGAGGTTGTTTTTTAAAAATTAAAATCTAATTTAAAAACCATTTCAGACTGATAAATGATAGAGGGCCAGATGGACATGACAAAGCAAATATAATAAAATGTTAATGTAGAATCGAGGTGGTGGTGTGTGGGTGCCCACCGTACCATTCTTTCAACTTTTCTGTGTGTTTGAAAATTATCAAAATAAAATGCTGGGGGAAAAAAGATCTCACTGGCAGTCCAGGGTGAACCATTCCCTTTCCACACCTCACAGTGCCCCAGCCTGAAAGGACCTCCCCACCCCAGCTCTAAGGCAGGCCTCACCTGGGTATGAGGATACCTGGTTCCAGTCCCCGCTCTGCCAGTGACTTGCTGTGTGTCTTTGAGCAAGTCATTGCCCCCTCCGCACCCCACACTTTGTGACCTAACTTTATATAAGACTTTCCAGAGGACAAGAATCCCCGGATTTGGGGGTTTGCTGGAGTTGTCTTTTTTTTTTTTTCCTTTGGAGCTGGCAGGTACAGGGATCCAAACCCTTGACTTTGGCGTTATCAGCACCATGTGCTCCCAAATGAGCTAAGTGGCCAGCCCCTGGAGCTGTATTTTTTTTTTTTTTTTTTTTTTAAAGATGACCGGTAAGGGGATCTTAACCCTTGACTTGGTGTTGTCAGCACCACGCTCAGCCAGTGAGCGAACCGGCCATCCCTATGTGGGATCCGAACCCGGGGCCTTGGTGTTATTAGCACCGCACTCTACCGAGTGAGCCACGGGCTGGCCCCCTGGAGCTGTATTTTAATGGTTTTTGTCAACCCCAAGAAGGCACCCATTATTTGGTACCTTAAAGTAGGCGTGCCAGAACGTTCCAGCCCAGGCTCAGGTGTGCAGCGACAGGGGCGACCCACCGGGCCAGGCACAAGCAGGACCCGCGAGAGAGTGGCAGGACAGAGAGAGGCCCCGCCCCGTGGGGCAGGTGTGGGCGGGGCCGGCCCCAGAAGCCCCGCCCTTTCACATAGGCCCCGCCCCTTCCTGAGTTGGCTGGCTGACGGAGGGTCAGTTTTCATGTTTTTCTTCATAATCTTTGTACTTATTTTAATTGGTTTCTTAGTGGACGTGCCGTGATTTACTGAGCACTTTTCCTGTTCTTGGGCATCAGTCGTTTCAGATTTAGCACCAGCTGAGATGAGTATCTTCGTCCTTCTGTTTTCTTCTGCTGAGTTTTTGCGACAGGACCCGTTCCCAGGGTGGCGTTACCGAGCCGAGGAAATGGATGTTTGTGCTCACGTACGTGTCACCAGCAGCACGTGAGTGTGTCGGCGGCACCGCAGCCTTGCAGAATGGGGCGCCGTGTGGTGTGTCGGGGGCCTCCGAGACCTCCCCGGGTTTGCCCACGGCGGGGACTTTTAGGACTCAACGCAAGAGCACAGAGATATCCAAGGCTGTGGTCTGTTGTGGCAAAAGGCAGCAGCCACATCAACAGAGGGAAAAGGCACGTGGGGTGGAGTTTGGAGGAAACCCGGCATGAGTGTTTGAGTCCTCTCCCAGTGGACTCATATACGTCACACTGAATTCCCCCAGCAGCACGTTGTGACAAGTGTGAAATGTCCACCAGGGAAGCTTAGCACCCGGGGTCTTTATTGGGGGCTGGTCACATAGGCACCCTCTGCCTAGCATGTACCGAAATTCCAGACTCCAGAAGGACAGCAGGTGTTCAGCATAAACCACAGTGTGTGCATAGTTTCGGCACCGGGAGCCACTCTTATCAGGGAATGGTGTAGACCTTCTCCAAATCCACGTTTCCAGACACCAGCTGTATTAGTCCATTTTGTGTGGCTATAACAGGACACCTGAGACTGGATGATTTATAAAGGAAATGAAATGTATTGCTTACAGTTTCTGAGCCTGGAAAGTCCAAAGTCTATCTGGTGGTGGTGACAGTGACCCAGGCGTCTCACATTGCAAGATGGTGGAAGCAGAGAGAGCAGAGAAAGACAGACTCTCCTCTTCTTTTACAGCCCTCAGAACCACACCCTGACCACCATTTTTAATCCATTCACTACCGCACAGTCCTACAACCCAATCACCTCTTCAAGGCCCCACCTTACAATTACTGTAATAGGATTTCCCACCCTCTTTACAGTCACAGTGGGGGCTAGGTTCCTAATACATAAAACTTGGAGGACACAACTCAAGCTTCAGAGAGTTTTGGGGGGACATAATTCAATCCAGTACACCAGCCAAGGGCCAACCTTGCGAGCAGGTCTTACTAAGGATAGCAGTCTCAGGCCTGCAGTATTAACTCTTCTCTGCAGTTGTTAAAAAAGAATATTTTTGGAGGGAAAATCATGTAGGTATAAAATGATACATAGCTTTTGCTATAATCTCTATGTCTTTAATTTCAGTGATTGCTCTCTGAATGGAATTGCTTTATGTTCTTGGCTCTCAAATTGGGTGATTGTGTCTCTGTGGAACCCAAAGGCACTGTATCTTCTAGGAGTAGCCATGGACACGGGGAGCTTTGCAGAGGCTGGAAGCTACTTGTTCTGAGGCACGCCACCCAGCCATGGAGACTGTTACTGAAATTCTATCAGTAACAGTCTGCCCATTTGTAAAAGGTAAGGGTCAGATGAGGAAGGCTGTCCTGAAGTCCTCTTTAAACTGCATGGAAAGGACAAAATGTGGGAGTAATTGCAACCAAAGCCTTTTGGAGGAGAGTGCCTGTCCCAGCTAGTTAGGTCCAGAATGAATGCCCATTGCTTCCTGGGAGCAAGGCCGCAGGGCCAGGACAGGGTTGGTCTATTTGGACCTCACAGGGAGGCTGGGAGCAGGCAGCATCTCCAGCTCCGAGGAAGGAGGTATGTGGGAAGGTTGTTCCAGTTGTCAAGCACTATGTAACAAACTACCTCCAAAATCCACGACATCATTTGCAACAGCGTGGATGGAACTGAAGAACATTATGCTAAGTGAAATAAGCCAGGCACAGAAAGACAAATACCACATGTCCTCACTTATATGTGGAAGTTTAAACAATCAAACACAGAAGCAGAGAGTAGAATGGTGCTTACCAGGGGCTTGGGATGCGGGGATGGCCAGGTGATGGTTAAAGTGTACAAAGCCTTATTTAAACAAGAGGAATACTCTTTTTGTTTGTTTTGTGAGATCTATTGCACAGCATAGTGAATACAGTAAATAACAGGGTATTGTACATTTCAGAAGCACTTTGAATAAATTTCAAATGTTGTCACTATGAATGTGCAAAGTTATTTGAGGATATTTTCTGTAGCATTATCTGTATTAGTAAAAAAAGGGGGGAGGACAACCTAAATGCTCATCAGTAGGTGAATAGATTAAATTCCTTGTGGTATCCTTATAGTACCCATTACTTGTAATGATGTCATCTGTATGTGGTTAAGCAAAACAAACAGTAAAAGAACAATAATGAAACAAGTTGTAAAGCAGTGTTTGTTATTATGTGTTGAATGCACAGGGAAAGTCTGATGGACGTGC